AAATAAATAAAAAAACAAACAAACAAAAAAGTCAGTTCAAAATATATTACATTCATGAAGCTTGTCTGACCATCTTAACCAACTGTTTGTTTCTTATTCATTAACTTCAAATAAATATTTTTTATTCATTAAAAAAAAGAACTCTGAGTTTATTGTTTTTATCAAAACATGTAAAAATTCACCTTTCTCATCTGCTGGGTCTACATTAGTCCTCTTGAGACTGTGATATGGGTCACTGAGGTTCTGTTCATTTTGTCAGTTTTCTTTCTCAGCTTCATATTAGACAGTTTTTATTTCTATGTCTTCAAGTTCATTTTTTTTATTCTGCAGTGTCTCATCTCCTCCTAATTCCAAAAGTGACTTTCTTTTTCATTCAGCATATTATATTTTTCCCTCTAGAGGTTCCCTTTTGTTCTTTCTATATCTTCTATTTCTCTCATTTAGTTCACGTCTTTCTTTAAATCCACAGACATATTTACAATCTTCATAATACCTGTTTCAAGTTCCTTGTCTGCTAGTTCTACCACATCTGTCCTTTCTGAGTCTGCTTATACTGACTATTTTTTCTTGTGATAGGTTACATTCCAGACTCTCAACATGTGTTGTACTTTTAAAATAGGATGCTAAGTACTGATAACGTCAGGAGTTGAATGCTGGGTTTCTTGTCTTCTTTTAAAGTTTATTTTGACAAGTGGTTGAATTTTCTTGTACATTAGGTTGATTCCTTTCTAGACTTTAGAAACAGACTTGTTTCAAACTTTTTTTTTTTTTTTTTTGGTACTGGTGATTGAACCCAGGGGTGCTTTGCCATTAAATCACATCCCCAGACTTTTTAAAATTTTTTATTTTGAAACAGGGTCTAGCTAAGTTGCTTAGGGCCTTGTGAAGTTGTTGAGGCTAGCCTGGAACTTGTGATCCTCCTGCCTCAGCCTTCTGAATCACTAGGATTGCTTAAAACATTTTATTGAAGTTTAACATAACAACATAAAAATTAACTCATCCATAATTTTAAAAATTATATCCAGCTTGAATTCTTCCCCATATAACTAGTACTCAGATCAAAAGCCAGCACATTACCAGCACCCCTAAAGCCCTCTCTTAAGTTTTCAAGGCTTGATTTTATGTATTGTTTGGGCAGAGATAAAATAACCTTTACTCTAGAGTTAATTTAGACCTATTATGAAGTCATACTCTCCCCAGTCTCTAGTGCTTATCCTCAGTGATCATCCAGGTCTCTATTCTGACTGGTCTGAACCTGAATGATTCCTAAGCCTGTGTGGACTCAGGGAATATAGTTCATTGTGTAGACTTTTTTTAAAAAAATTTTTTTTAAAGAGAGAGAGAGAGAGAGAGAGAGAGAGAGAGAGAGAGAGAGAATTTTAATATTTATTTTTTAGCTTTCGGCGGACAGAACATCTTTGTTTGTATGTGGTGTTGAGGATCGAACCCGGGCCTCACACATGCCAGGCGAGTGAGCCACCGCTTGAGCCACATCCCCAGCCCAATCATTGTGTAGACTTTGATCAGGAGTTTCATCCTCCATTTGGGCAGATTATTCAATAAGTCAGTCAATTCAGATTTCTGAAACTTTTCCTGTGATGTTGCTCCCCCCTGTCCAGTACTCTTTCTGACTCACAAACTCAGATTTTAACCTTCTAACTCAATAAAAGTGTTGTACTTTGCTGAGGATCGCCCTTCTGGTATCAGGTGTCTGGAAAATGCCTCAAGGAAGAAAGCCAGGGGAATGATAAGTCTCACATCACTTGTTTCCTCTCATTCTGTGATCACAGCTCTGAATGACCTGTTAACCAATCTGCCTGTCCAGAGTTTCAACAGTTAATAGTGGGAAGATTAATCCAGTTCCATCATGGCTAGCAGCAGAATCAAGACCTCTTTTAATAAAATTTCCAGCATGGATGCCATGTTTTGCAAGATTTCATCTATCAAAATAACCCAACCCATATGTGCTTTCCATCCTTCCAACTATCTATTCAATGGCTGCTAGATCTTTGGGAAACAGAGATTGGTTCATGTTCTCAAAAAGTAACAATTCAATGGGAAAGCCATTTTTTTTTCTGGCAAAAAGGAGAGATTGTAGGGTCAACTGTGGACATGCTGGTAATAGATCAGTGCGATTACACAAGGAATACAAAAGGCTTTGGGAAAAGATATGGTCAACATAGGTCTCTTTCCTTGCAGAGGTCAAGGAAAATTTTTAGCATAATGTTTAGAGAAAGTCTTGAAGAGTAACTGAGAGATTAATGGATGGGATAGGATATTTTGAACAAAAGAAACTGCATGAAAAGTATGAAGCTATGGAACAATACCTAAGTGTGGGAGAACTACTAATATAGGGTTAGAAGAAGGGAGGGGAGAGAGCTAAAACTATGAAAAAACAATCAAATAGAAACCCCAGGAGCATCACACCATGAAGTGGGGCTTTAAATGCTGTGCTTATCATCATTCACACCTGTACTTTGTTGTTAACTACCATCTAGAGTGACCACAGGATGGATATTTTGATTATATACGTCACATTGAATTCTTACAACCTTATGAAGAAATGAAGAGATCTTTAGTAATTTTGCCCCAAGTCACATGGCCAGGATTTAAACATAGGTCTGTGTGAGTCCAAAGTGAACAAAGCAAACTTGCCTTGAATCTATAGGTAGAGGGAAGTTTTGGAAGAATATTTTGTCTTTAAAAGTTTTTTTTTTCCCAGATCATTTTCATTGATGGAGCAATTTCAAGTTGGAGGGATATATAGTTTAATTTTTGTTTTTAGAAAAGTCACTCTGGTACACCTGGAAGGACTGGAGGGAGGAAGATGGGATTAGATGAACCAATTTGTAGGCTGCTGGCAATAGTGCAGGGGAGAAACAAGAGGGTACATCAGGTGGCATTTAGGAGGGATGGGAAAGAGGATGTGGACTAACAAAATGTTTAAGTTGTTCAATCCTTCAGCAGCTCTGGCAAAAAGGAGAGATTGTAGGGTCAACTGTGGACATGCTGATACACTGGAAGTAGCAGGTCCTGTGTCAAAGATGAGACAGAATCTCTCCTTTTGTAAAGTTCATGTAGYATTACAGAATCCAACTTATGAATTCCACTGAAATACAATAGGTGCCTTATGGACCACACATTCCCTTCCCATTACTATCTTGGGACCCCATGTGGGGAAACACTGCTGTAAAATATTCTCAATTCTCTTTCAAACCAGCTTGAAGTTAAGAAGCCCTATATGCCCAGGCTGAGACTATTAGGACCAGGAGGGTATTAGTGATCTACTAACTTGTCTGTAATTATCAACAACTATTTTATTAAAAAATGCAGATACCATTTATTGACCACTGGCAACATATGAACACTGTACTAGGCATTGGGTGAACATTATAATTTACCACAATAATCCTAAGAGTACTCTTGGCACCTCTCCTGTAGAGGGGGAAGCAGAAGTGCTAAGATAGAAAATAACTTGCTTGAGTTCCTTTGCTTCCCTGAGAAAGCCTCAAAGATCACTTAAAAGGAATCTTAGAACCTGTCATCTTCAGGAAGATTCCATTAAACTCTCCCAAAGTTTGTTACTCTCTCTCCTGGGCCTTTCTGTGACTGATTTCTATTTCCCTTGTGGTCCCTGTTATGTTACACTGTGGTGTACATATAATTTACATGTCTGCTTTCCCTTACTGGAAGGTACTCTATGGAGTTCTGCCTTCTCTTTGCCTGTACAGGGTTAGAGTAATGCAGATGGAGTCAGTTGGAACACTGCATGGTTTCTGAGTTGACAGTCATCCTGTTCTGTGTCAGAGCCCTTGGCCATTATTTTGCAGCTGATATGCCTCCCAGTCAGTCACTTCCCACATTTCACTTGGCAGTTGCAAGGTCCCTGCTTGAGAGATCCATGCCTTACAGAGGAGCTTGACCAGGGAACGGGAACAGGGTAGGCTCTATGCACTCAAGAGTTGGGCTTGCATATTGGGAGTGGAGAAGAGACCTTCCTCAGAGTGGTGCAAAGAGTAAAGGAGAGGTCAGTGACAAGGACTTAGCACAGCACCTAGTGAACAACAGGTCAATGATAGTAGCCATTATTCAGTGATGCTGCAAAGGAAACATTTTTTTTTTTAATATAGCACACAAATAACATTCCATCCCCAAATCTCACAGGAAGGTAAAAGCAGAGAAGTCTGAAATCATTCATCAATACACAGTAATCCCTTAAGAAAAGCACAGTGCCACAGGGGCTCCTGACAGATGGAGCACCACCACCCACCATGTCAAACACTCCCAGACACAAACCCAGTCTGATCTGTTGCACAGGGCCAGCAACATGGGCTTCTTTCATTTTGGAAGCCAGAAGAATGTATGGATATTCTGGCACATGGAACCACAGGAACATGAAGACCACCCTTGCCTATGAGGCCAGATTCTTCCTTGGGTTGATTATGGGGTAGACAAGTCAACTTTCAAAGCTGCCACAGGAGCTGACGTGAGATACTAGTATGGCCAGATGTCAACTGGCAAATATGGCAGTCAGTCACTTTCAATTCTATAGAACCCACATAGGTTTGAATTACTGTACACTGTACACACTGAAAACCCTCCTACCCACCATCTGGGTGTTACTCAGAAGATGCTACCCTGCTCTCTAGAGATGGCAATGTGCTAGGGAAGTGTGGCATCCCTCCTTCCCAGGCTCCCACAGAAGAGAAGTTCCTCAGACTCTGGAATTACTTCACAGACTTTCAGATGAAAGTCATCAGAGCACAATAAAACTCAAAGAATAAACTACCTCACAACTTTCTACCCTGTTTCAGAGAAGACAGAGAAACAAACCACAGTTCTTAGGCCACAGGAAAACCACAGCTATCTTCTCTCCCTCCACACACTCTAAGTCATGTTCATTTCCATGGCACAAGCAAGCAGGAGTCAGATCTCAAGAGCGCATTACCCACCACATCATTTGGAAGGCTCTGGAGGTCATCAAAGGGAGTTTCCAGGGTGTTGGTATCCACATTCAGGATCACAACATCATCCAGGGCCATGTTTCTGACTTTCTGCAAATAAACAAAATCCAGAAGAGAAAGTCATTGAAATTCTACCAGGACACAGATATTCCCTCTTTGCTTCTCCAGGGAGGGGAGTAGAGAAAAAGGTGACATTTGACCAAAGCTTACTAGTACTCTGGCAGCCCATAAATGGTTTGCATTTGTTATTCATTTAACTCCTGTGAAAACTCTTTGAGTTTGCATGTCATCCCCAGACCCAGGAGTGAAGCGAGTTTCACCCACCCTGAGTAACATGCCCCAGGTCTCGCAGCTAAGAAGAGAAAGACTGTACCCTATCATTGTTTTCTCTGTGTATGTGCACATGCATGCACATGAGTGTACTTTTTTAAACATAAGCTGAAGACCTAAACCTCTGGCTCCAGGAATATACAAAGGGCTTTTAAGACACCCACATTCATTCCTTTCTTCTCATTTACCAAAAGCAACCTGCTCATCTCTCTTTCGGATTTCATCATTCTTGGGTAAAGAATATGGTATGTTCACATTTCTCTTGAACACTAAGTAGGAAGGTCACACTTTCAGTCTGGTTCCATTTTCCATAAAAACCCAGCTACTAATGGCTCTGGCCATGGGCCACTCATTTAGTGGTAGGATAAGGGAGACTCAGGACTTCTAGAAGAGGTACTTCTGCTTGGTGAAGGGAGGAAGGGATGACATGGAGCCCCTCATCTAGCAGCAACTATCTATAAACTGTGGTATTACATTGTGTGACCTGAGTTTTTATTGTTCAAATTCCACTGTTAATTCACTGCTAGAATCCATTTTCATCTTTCTCCTGCCTGCCCACCATCATTCAGTCCTCCTTCCCCATTTGTATCAAATTTGCTCCTCACAGGTTTTAAACTTCAGAACTATTGTCTATTTTATTTTGCCCAAAGTAGGAAGACCCTATCAGGTGTCATTCAAACTGGGACACTTGTGAACTTAGAAGAGTGCATATCATACCAGGGCAACAGGCAGAAGACGGGACATATGGTAACCCTATATGTAAGGGACTGATTTCATTATTAATTTCCTATCGAGTGCACCATATGACTGTCTAGGTATGCACTGCCCAGGAGATCTGGCCAGCAAGGCTGGGACTGAAGGAGCCAACCTGTGTGCATACCAAGGCCCTGGCTGGGGTGGAGGTGGGGAATGTGTTTAACACCAGACCCAGACATATGATGGTGTGAAAGCCCATTTGCTAATGCTCTGGAAATGACCAATTTAAAAGTACAAATAATTCTTATCAAGACTCCGCAAAGTGGATGTTGTTACCCTTATTGTTCATAACTCGAGGAAAATGAGTTCAGACAAATGAGGTAAGTAAGTGGTAGAAGGTAGCACTGCCTCCTCTGTAGCCCATGTTCCCTGCACCACACTATCCACCTCCTTGTCGCCAGATACCCTCAGTAAGATTGATCTCAGCCCTCATCCCTGAAGCCCTGGCACCCCTTTGCCTGCCTCCCCCCACTGGGCTCATCTGAAAAGCTTGCCACTGTGTGGCTAATAACCAGTGCCTAATGAAGTGATCCATGCTTAGTAAGTGCTGACATTGGCTGATATTTAAACTCCAGTCCCTAGGATAGCACTTGGTACCTAAATAAACATTCTGAGATTCTTCCTAGCAGGAGGGTGGAACCATGCTGGTCAGAAGCCTTCTAGGGTTGAAAAAATACTCCTGGGCAAGCCTTCCACTTAGGTCCAGAGCCTCTAACTCCATCTGACTCCTCTGGGCCACTGGGGCAGTCCACAAACCTACTGATCAACCTGAAAACATCTGCCAAGTCCTTACCACGTGCTGAGATCCACAGAGGATGGACAAGATGGCTAATCTGAGTTTATTCTCCCCACTAAACCTCAATATGCACATTAATTACTGCCCTATTTATAGGCCAATGGCCATCAAAAAATGAAGGGATTGATAATAATTCAATCACTGAATGTTGTACAGCACTTTTGTCTTACAAAGCATAATCCCTGTTTCATGGAGGAGAACATCAAGAGTCGGAGAGCTGTCCACAGCTCTTTAGCTGCCCACTCTGCCAGCAACTCAGCAGGTTGAAGGCCTTGCACTGCACCAGCAGGAAGTTAAATAAACAGCATGGACAACCATTTTTTCCACTATGTCACATTTTGGAGCTCATGAAGGATCACCACACAGATGCTTTCATTTCCACCAGTGACCTGGTAGTGAGATATCACCATTCCTATTTTCAAGATGAGAAACTGAGGCTCCAAGAAGTGCAACAGCTTGCCTAAGGCTGTGTGTCTAATTGGTTTCTTCATCTGAGAAGTTGGAAGAGCTATGACCTCTCCTTCTCTCACGTCCCCCTGGACTGTGTGAGAATTAGAGGTCAGGGACACACAGTGCAGAGCCATAGTACAGCTTATTATTTACCATTTAGCGGCTATTATTATTATTTAACACATACAATAGCTATAGACAGAAGAGCTGTAGTAGCATTGGCTTAAGGGCGGAAATGCTTCCATTCTCTTGGTGGTAACTATTTGCTTCTCATTTTGAAAGCTAAAGCACAGAAACTGAATCAGAGAGGCAGTTGAGGATGGCCAGGCCTCGAAGACTAAATGGAGACCCCTGTACCAAGAATCACCTATTTGCCTCATCTGACCTCCCAAACAGCCCCAAACAGAAGGGGGCAGGAGGCAATGACCACTGTAGAGAAGCATCAGGGGCTGAAAGGCCTTGTGAGTGGATGTTGATTCTGGACCAGAATCGGGCCTTGTTCCTCTGTCCCCAGAGGGGCCCCAGCAGCACAGACCAGCCCTTGTGGACTCTCCATGGCTAGGCTCGGGCAGGCTTTTGATTTCTTCCCACTCCTGGCTGGAGGACTTGCCGGCTAAGCTGTGTGGAGTGTTTACTTTTCCAACAATGGCAGCAGGCTGAAGAAGAGGAAAAAACCTGGCCCTTTCTTCAGATTTAGCAGGCCAGGGTCCCCTTAGTAACCGAAATGCCCCTAGCACCAGGCTCCAGGCAGGAGCTACAGTGGCACAGTTTCCTCTTGTAGGACAATGCTGCCCTCTTGGTGGCAAAGCCTCTCCAAAGGGGCTGGCATGGGTTCAAGGGCGTTCCTGAAGCTCAGTGTTCCCAAGGAAAGAATCAGAGGCTGGTTTGGCCGGATGGTGCCCTGTCCCTGAAAGACTCAAGGCAACTAGGAGAATGAAGAAAGGCAAGAAAAACTCACACTGGGGCTGTGAAGTGGGAAGTGCTGGAGGAGAAGGAAGCTGGATGATTACTTGGTGCCAGCTCACTTCATCTTAACCATGCTGTGAGGGAGATACTACCATGTCCCTGGTAAAGGTGAACAACTGGTAGCTCAGAGAGGCAAACAAACTGCCCAAAGCCCCATAGCCAGTGAGTGGCAGCAGAGCTGGCTTTAAGCATAGTCTTGACTCCAAAGTTTATTCCTCTCTGAAGAGATCCTAAATTCTCTGCTCAGGCTTCAGAATGAGTAGCTGTGAGGTGCATACAGTTATATGAATGCTCTCAGGATCTGTTTTCTCTTCTGCAAAATCTGGCCTGCCTTTTGTATCTGAAACATCATACATGCCTACTACAAAAAATGGGAAAGGTGTGCTGGGTGCAGTGGTGCAAACCTGCAGTCCCAGTTTCTCAAGAGGCCAAGGCAGGAGAAACACAAGTTCAAGGCCAGCCTGGGCAAGTTAGTGAGACCCTATCTCAAAAAACAACTTTTAAAAGGACTGGGCATGTAGCTCAGTGGTAGAGTGCTTTATGTAGCATTTGCTAGGCCCAGTACTGCAATTAAAAGAAGGCTGGAAGAAGGAGCGGTGTGAGGGGAGGGAAAGAAGATTTCAAAGAAAATTACCATTACCTTAGATCCTTCAATTGGATAACATATTTTGGTGTATTTCCTTCCATGCTCCTCCCTCCTTACTTTTAAAAACATAGGTTGAAATCATTCTTATTGCTCCTTTCTGATTTTCTCACTGATTGCAGTATAAGCAATGCTCCACTCCATTCAAAGCTTTGTGAAGATCATTACTAATTGCTACAGGGGGCTCCACTGCATGAAGACAAACTCAGCCAAGTCCCTTTGGTTGAATGTTATTTCCAGCTTTAAAGAAATTATTCTATATAATATTGTCATGAAATCTGTAGGATAAAGCTTTGTACTTCAGGATGGATTCCTAGAAGTGGAATTTAGTTTCCACTTCTTAAAAAGTGTCCCTCTCAAATTTGTCTTTGAGAGAGATATCTTTACTTCCAATTATTTTAAAGTCATTTTATCCACAGCTTGTGTTTCCTACTCTAAGTGAAGAAAAATCAGCAAAGACACGAGCAGATGTCAAAATAGTCCTCCAAAAATCCTACCCAATTAAAACACTTACTAGTACCGCAGCACACCGAGACAGCTCTCCGGTAGCTTGTCCCACCAACACATTCCCTCTCTTTTTAGTTACAACATATGCCAAAGCTCCTGCCAGCTGCAAACCCTTCCCCCACCAGGCTCTATAAGCTTTTTCTCAGAATGAAGGGGAAAAAAAAAAAAAAAAGAAAAGAAAAAAAAACCACACTGACATGCACACAGCTCTCCAAATGGCATTTCTTACACAGAGAAACGCAAAAATGGTATCTTCCCATCAATATTGTTAATCAAAAATGTCTTTCCCTATAAGCTTTGTCACATAGTCTTAACTTGACCCCTATTTTTGGGGCCAGGGAAGGGGAAATGCATAGTATGAGAGGTGCTTAGGGGCAGTTGAGAGGACAGGACACTGGCTATAACTTAGGTCGTCACCTCTGGTTTGCCTTTACCCAGTGGGTAGCCTAATCAATATATTCAATCTCACACACATTTCAGGTTTTCAATCCATGATATGGGGATCAATTATAGACCCTGCCTCACAGGGTGGTTGTGAGGTTTATAGAAGCGAATGTGAGTTCCAGAACACCCATAACAGGTACTCAATGAACAGCAGCTCCTTCCCTGCCTGCCTCTTCTTCTCTGATGGTCCCTAGAGCT